GCCGAGCTTCTTCCGACCCTGCCTCCCGGCATCCCCCCCCGTGGCGCACTTCTTCCCATTACGGTGGGGAGCTCAAAGGCGAAGGACACTGAGTAGTCTTTGCCGCAACAGATTTACACAATTCTATTCATGGCTTGCTTGAGGGAGCAGGCCAAGTTTTGTTGGCACACTGCATTGTCGTTTAAACGCGACTTCGCAGTGCGATTCTCATGCCATCATCCTCTGTGTTGTCGTTCAATCGGAAGTTCTCCACCGTTTGCGGCGGAGTTCCCTGTTCCGCTACTTCAAACGTTCACCGTAGCTGTTTCCTCTGCAATGGCAGAATCCCGAACGGAAATGAACCATGCTGTTGCGTTGGCCCGCCGTACGCCAGAACACGTTCAAGAAAAGCTGCTGTGTACTGCCATCCCACACCGGAAGCCCTGGTTCAAGCATGTTTGGCACATTTGGCTACAGCATCGCAGCTTCCCAGCTGAAACTCGCTAAACCCTAAACCCTAAACCCCCCTGGAAGCCCCAACACCTGCAACAGGACATGCCGGAGCCTCCCCTCCTCAACGCCATCGGCGTGGAGAGAGCGAGGCCCGGCTGTGCGGATGGTGGTTGGGAGTTTGCAGCTGGGCTTGAGTCCTCAACCCTAAGCCCTAAACCCTGAGGCTTCTTCTTTTAAACCATTGCTGGGGAGAAGAGGGGGTTCGGATTTGGTGTCTTGGCTGAGGGTTTGGGGGTTTTTTAGTGTGTTCGGCGAGGCTGTTTGAAGGCTTGGGGAACTTAGGGTTCTGTAGACGGACGCCCTTGTGTGGCTTTGGGTTTGGGGGAATTTCAGGCGTCGGGTCCCGGTTTTGGTTTTCCCAGCTCCGCCTTTTGGGGTCCGCAAGAAAAGGACCCTGAAGCGCTAAACCCTACAGAGCTCCGAAGTAGTTCCTCTTTTGGGATTATGTTATAGGATTCTGAATATAAACCACAAACGGAACTGCTTAGGGGCCGAAAACCCTACAGTCTGCGAGGCCGAGCTCCGAAGCTCTTTGAGCAGTCTATTAGGGTTTAGGGTTTAGGGTTTTAGGGCATCGGGGCTCAGAGCTGAGCCTCTGTCGACTCTTTGGGGTCATTTGTGGGCCTCGCGGGTTGAAGGGTGTCGCATCCCGACAAACCGTGAACGCCGAAGCCCACACCCTAAACCCCAAACCCTAAAGCCCCCAAACCCTAAGCTCCAAACCCTAAACCCCTAAACCCTAAAGCCCCCAAACCCCCAAGCCCCCAAACCCTAAGCCCCCAAACCCTAAACCCCCAAAGCCCAAGCCTCTTGGGAGCCTTCGAGCCGATCAGATCTTCCCCTCCGACCTACTTGCAGCAAGGCCTTCGGCGGTGCTAGAAGCAGGCAGGATCCCCCGTTGCACAGTGGCAGTTGGGCTTCTTCGGGATGAAACAGGTGGTTTTTGAAGCATGTTCTTGCTTGGGACTTTCGATCTTGGATGAAACAGGAGTTTTTGAAGCATGACGGTTTTCCTGCTTCGGGTTCCTTGCGTTCAGGATCCTACGTTGCTCCCTGACCAAGCCCCTCTATGAACCTTAACACCTTCAAACCCTGGGCCGAGGAAAGCTGTGAGACTTCGGGTGTTAAGGTTTGGCGAAGGGCTTTGACGTCTTTTGGGGGTTTGGGCTTCTGCATTTGTTATTTTGGGCATCGGGCTTTCGGCGGGGGTTCAAGAGCAGGTCTACATACTGTAGGTTTTTTTTAGGGCTGCGGGATTTTTGAATTGGGTCCTGGCTTGTTTTGGGGTGCAAGGCTGCAGGCTTTCTGTGTAATGTAGGGGCTATGGAAGAATAGAAGGGGATTCCAGAGCTGTGTAGGGATGACGAGTACCTCTGTCTACTTCTAGAAATCTCCGGAGTCTTGCACGTTCCGTTTGCCTCTACCCTGTGCTATACAGACTGAGCCCTTCTGTGTTTAGCAGTCATCCTGCTGCTACGGACTGTCGTGCTTGATATGTGGAGCGACGCAGCCCTCAACCCTGAATCGTCAGAGCCCTAAGCCCAACACAGGCACGAGTAGCCCTGCACTGAGACCCCGGACTCGAAGACCTACACCCGCCCAAGCCTGAAGTCATCGACGCAAAGAGCGCAACATACTCACTCGCTCCAGCAGTCGTTACCGTCGAAATCCTCTCAGGCTAAACCCTGAACCCTCGGAGGCTTATATCCTTCAGCCACACATAGCCTTCTATTGGGGACCTTGAAGGCGTAAATCCTTCAACCACACAGTGCTGCCGCTCCCTAGTAGCGACTTTTGTCGGGATAAGTTGACCTATACACCCTAACCCCCAAAATCTCTAAACCCCTAAATCCCTAACCCCTAGCTGCCCTAAACCTCTAAATCCCTAAGCTGCTAAATCCCTAAACCCTAAGCCCCAAAATGCCTAAACGCCTAAAGCCACTAAATCCCGAAACCATTGAGGCTTCTGGATTTGAGACTGTCAGCTTGGAGCTGAAGCTGTCGGGGTGAGGGTCTAGGGTTTTGGGGTTCAGGGTTCAGGGGTTTTAGGGTTTAGGGCTGCAGGGTTAAGGGGGTTTTGGGGTTTAGGGTTTAATACAAAAGCCTCAATAACTCACCAACATTGTTCCTTAGGCTTACGCAGTATAGCCCGTCGCCCGTAGTCTGGTAATGAAGGCCACGATATCTGTGCCTGAGGTTTGGGGCTTTCGGTCCTTGCCAAATCGAGGCCTCGTGTGCCGCTGCCCATGCAATCCTCGTCCTCCAGCTCGGGAGGAAGGCGGCAGCGTGGGATTTGCTCCTGTTCCTACTACCTCCTACTACTACGGTTGATGATATAAATCCTGCATTGCCTTCAAAGCCCTAAACTATAGGAATTATGGTATATTACTTGTTATGGGTAGTGCAGGATTTATATCATCAACAGTATTGCTAAAACTACCACTACCACCACCATGATCAGCTTATCTTCGTCTACTACTAGTGTTTGTTCGGCCAGTTTGTGAGCACTCGGCGAGAGATGGATTCCGACACATCATTAGTCCCGACAGCAAGTACACGTGAAGCTCTAGCATGGGAAAGCTTATGCAGTTGTCAGCTGCACTTACATGCCAGGAAGATGCAGGTGTGTGAAGCTTGTCTACGGTCAATTTCTCTGCGGCTTGAAACTGCAGGCATTTGCAGCCGGAGGCCAACAGCATGAGCAACACCAGGAGCAAAACAGAGTTGTTCTTAATGCCTGTGCCCTGCTTGCGCTAACAGCAGGCACGCCATGAGCAGTAGCCGGTAGCCGCCGAGACACTTTTCGTCGGAGGGGAGTCCGCGCTCGCAGCCATGCCGAAATTCTCGCTGTACGCAAGGCTCCGTGCAGCTGACGAGGAGGCTGGCAAGGACCGGCTGCGTGCGCGGCTCGTGTGGCCCCTCGGCCTCTAGCAGTCCTTGGGGGCTCCGAGTTCTGCAACTCAGCACAGTAAGTTGGTACTCGTGTGTAGTACTGTAGCAACAGTGGGCTGAGTAAGAATCCGGAGGACGCATTTTTGTGTCATGTGTACTTCTTTAGGTTTGAGCGAATGTTGCGGGAAAGCTCAGGCTCCTGGTGGTGCTGGAGACGATCTCCTTGCTTTGCTTTCCTCAAGTGGCCACTCTCACACACGGAGCATTCTTTCTGATCCCGCTGGGGGCGCTCTGCCTAGCTGCCGCGATCCGACTTTACTCCAGGCCTCATATCCTGCTGGCTGAGCCACTTTGCGTCGTTTGGCCTGACAACCATTCACGACATGGCCTGGCGCGCGAGCAGGCGCCCAACCTTCGCTTTGGTGGCTTTGTGTGGGTACTGAAGCTTGTGTGCTCTTTGACTTTCTGGACGAGCCCCGCTGCCTTCAGCCTCCTGGGGGACGGTTGCCCTGACGCGGTCCCACGTCCGAAATGCAGCCATTACACACGAGGGGATGGACAAATCTGGTGCATGGACATACATGTCGTTGACGAGCCGCCATTTGCCAAACGCAAAGGCCTCCAAGAACAGGGCGGAGCATGCTCGAATCAGTGTGGGTCTTGGGACTTTTCTGTCCACCCGCAGATCCAACAATGTCGTAACCCATTTGAGCTATCTTGCTGCAATTGCCTGCACTGCTACCTTTCACCCACAGTGCCTTTTTGGTTAAAGGAAGGATGCAGTGCGGGAGCTTTTGCGCCAGATTTTGCACAAGAGCTATTTCTGTGTGCCAATGGATGCCCGGGGCCGAAGAATCCAATTCCGTACTATGAAGCGCAGACGCCGAGCTTCGAAAACGGTATGCTGGCGCAACTTTCTCGGTGCACCTTGGTCCACGGAGAAGAATCGACTCAAGCCAAGGTTGCGGTGGATGTAGTCTCAGCCTTGCAGTGCTTGCCTTTGGCCTCTTTGGTGGCTTGTGCTTTGCTCGGCGTCTGGGTGCATCTGCTGAAGGGCGGAAGTGCTTCAGTCATGCTGGGTGCCGTCCCCATGGAGCTTGAGACCATTGAAGCCATAGATGCAAAGGCAGCGCAGCTGCAAGACCAGATTCGGCATAAAAGATTGGAGTCCTCGCCCAAGGTGACATTCCAGCTTTGGATGGACTTTGTTGTTTTCCTACTGGACTACCTGTCCGACTACAACTGCCTCCGAACTTTTGTCGTGGAGGGAGCCTACGGTGTGGCAGCCGTGCAGGGTGTCATCATCGCTGCTCCGGTAGCGTTGGACTGCTACCGTGGGAAGATACAACTGGTGGAAGTATTCGGGGGATTCATCGAGTCACGGAAGCGCGGCTTTCCCACCGACGAATTCATGCTGGCGCTTCGCTCGGAGAAGAGCCTGGAGGCTGCACTCCCTAAGCCGAAACCACTGCGCCCAAACCCTAAAACTCTAACCTCGAAACCCCTTTGCCCTAAACTAAAGCCAAAGCCATAAAGAGCCCTGAGGCCCCACTTTCCATGTTCCTGCAGTTCTACACGCTGTTGCGGAGCACACGCTCCTCGTCCATCTGGAGCCTTTGCATCTCCATGCCGCTGAGCATCCTGGGCATTGCGAAGCATGTCTACGCAACCTTCGAGCTTCAGGTTTTGGAGGTGTTGGCAAGACATCCAACCCAGCCCAGGCAGCCAGAGCTGCAGACCACACCCCTGCAGCCAGGGCACAGCAGCACTCCCCAGCACCGACCAGGGCACGAACCAGCTGCAAGTCCATGGAGATCAAGCGACGACAACCTATCAATGCAAGGGCCCCCTTGTCCGCCAGATTCCATGCAGGTGATTCCGGCCTTGCCTCCAGGCATCGCACC